ACAAGGAAATATATTATTTTATGATTATTAATATATTCTTATGGGTCTAGTCTTTTAATTTGTCGACATTTAATAGAGGCTTATTACAAATAAAGTGCCCAAATGGCCATGATCCCAACTGCCAGCTGATTGTCGCTTCCACTGGCGGCTCAGTCAGACAGCCGCTAGAGCGCTCCGAGTTTAACGCGTTCTCTACCACTCTCTCTACAAAGAAATATATTATTTTATGATTATTAATATATTCTTATGGGTCTAGTCTTTTAATTTGTCGACATTTAATAGGGGCTTATTACAAATAAAGTGACCAAATGGCCGTGATGCCAACTGCCAGCTGATTGTCGCTTCCACTGGCGGCTCAGTCAGACAGCCGCAAGAGCGCTCCGAGTTTAACGCGTTCTCTACCACTCTCTCTACAAGGAAATATATTATTGTATGATTATTAATATATTCTTATGGGTCTAGTCTTTTAATTTGTCGACATTTAATAGAGGCTTATTACAAATAAAGTGCCCAAATGGCCGTGATCCCAACTGCCAGCTGATTGTCGCTTCCACTGGCGGCTCAGTCAGACAGCCGCTAGAGCGCTCCTAGTTTAACGCGTTCTCTACCACTCTCTCTACAAGGAAATATATTATTTTATGATTATTAATATATTCTTATGGGTCTAGTCTTTTAATTTGTCGACATTTAATAGAGGCTTATTACAAAAAAAGTGCCCAAATGGCCGTGATTTACCATTTACCGATTGAGCAGCCAGTGCAAGCGGCAATAACCTGCCAGTCTGGATCACGGCCATTTGAACACTTTATTTGTGATAAACCTCCCTAAAATGTCGATCATGTAAAAGAACAGACCCATAAGAATGAATTCATAATCATAAAATAATATATTTCCTTGCAGAGAGAGTGGTAGAGAACGTGTTATACTGGCAGCTTCAGCCACTGGCGGGTCACATGACCTGTCAGTGGCGGCTCCTGCCAGCCAGTTGAAGATTGAACCCCCACTCTTTAGATGTCCAAAAATGCTGTCTGAGCAGGCAACTCATTAAAGAGTGTTTGAGTGGCAGCAGCAAATGCGGGGCAGAAAAGGTGAAAAATCTGAACACAAAGACAGTGTCTGAAAAAACTAGTGAATTATGGCAGTGCTGCACTAAATGCACTAAAATGCAATCTAAGAAGACCTTAATTCAGAAATATATAATAAAAAAAGAAAGGGTGGAGGTGCGTAGTATATCGTTCAGTCATCCGTTCGAATTAAAAGAAGCCTTGTGTCCACGTTTTATATTAGACAAATATATTATATTTACAGTAGGGCATGTATTTACAGTGATCAGACGCAGCCCGACACATGTACATCACGCTTTGGTCACACTTTACAAATCAACACTGTCAACTCAACTGACAACCTGACAAATACAACCAATTCTTTCCGAAACAAAGTGAACGATTATAAAGAGGATAGTGCCTCAGCTGAAAGCGATCAAGGATCATAGGTTTCTTGTCTGATTGGGTTGGGCAGATAATAGTTAGTCTGTTAGTCTTCATATCTAGAAGTTACATGCCAGTCAGTTGTTAAGCTAGCTGTCCTGCTTGTAAACATGAAATGCATTACATTACCTGTCCTCCGTGAATCTGATGAAATGCTGTGGAGCGTCAGCTCACTGTGCAGAGATGCGAGAGTGTATCCAAATCGGATTGACGCTCATTTTTGTGTGATTTAGAAAGAATATGAATATGTTGTCAACGTTACACAAGTGTCACTCTCCTTATGTCCTTGCCCAGCGCCTGTCTGCGCTACTGCGCATGCGTCCATCACCTTCTAGAAGCGGAATCTGCCTGTTACAGCGGCATCCAGCGGCGAACGCGACATACTGCAAGACGCTCACGCCCTTTATGAACTATGGCGGCTTTCTCTTTTCAAAATAAAAGCCTTAAATTGTCATGATAGAGCACCAACTTTATTTTCAAATTTTATTACAGTATTTTGGATATTATTTTCTCAGTGGGATATTATATTATATTATATTATATTATATTATATTATATTATCTACGGTAGCAGACTTGACTTTGACTTTTTCTTTGAAATCACTCGTTTTTGGCAACGCCAGTGCAATACCTTGGGCGGCCTGAGTGAGGGCGTGGCGCTGTCGCAAACCGAGCTCCCGGCGTTTGAGTGTGTGTAGCAGTGCGCGGATAGGCCGCATGTGATGTAAGCTATAGTGTGCTCGTGTGCATTGTCACCTGTGATACATCTTCGAGTCTCATTTTAATACCGTATTTTCATTCCTTGCGAGAAAAAAGGTTAAGCAGAAAAATGCCAAAGAAATCAAAAGAAGTCGCTGAGTGGGAGGGTGATGAACCACAAACAGGTACGTTAAGATTTTGGGTTTCTATTACACCACAAGCTTATAATAATAACGACATGAAAATGATGCAGCTATATTGTAAAAGTTTACATGATGACAGCTCTGCTATTAATGCTCTGCTATGTGTAGTGGAGATACAGAGGTTGTGATTTATTATATTGCTGCTATATTTTGCTTAGCACATTAGCCTACGACAGAAGTGAGTTTATGGTGGTGCGGAGTTTGATATTTCACTGTCATTGCATCATTTTGCCAAGCTGATGTAATTTAAGACCGTATCCGCTGTGTGATCCATGTTTCAACTGCGCTGATATAACGGTTGTTTCCAAATCTAGCGATTTTTTTGGGAACGTGCCTGTGCTGCCCCAAAATGCTGTCTAGGTTGGCAGCTCACTAGATTTTTTGAAAGCTCTTGTTTTAAATCCTGTACACAAACCACTCATTCTTTGGCATTGTCATGTTCATTTGAGTCTGTTCTGTGTGTTTGTGTGTACAGAAGTGCTTAACATAATGATTTTTCGTTGTTTAGACAAACATGTCAAAAGAGGAAAGAAGGATAAGCAGGGGAAGAAAAGTGTAAGGTTTCAGTTTTGTTGATTCATGACTGATTTGTTATAACTTTAATTGTTAACAACTATGCTTAAAAGATCAAGAATTCATTCAAGTGCGAAAAAAAAATGTAATCATTCTATAATGTTTTTTGTCAGTTACACCTATTAATATTTCATTAATAATTGCCAAAATAATAATAAATACATTTTAAAACTCATACCTCTGACATCTGAATTGTTTTATGCATATTTCTGTATTTTTATATTTTTAATTTCATCCTTACAGTTTTTTGAGGAGCTGGCATCAGATAATAAACCAGAAAAAGGAGAACAGCCACCAGTGAAAGAGGCACAAGGGAAACAGGTGCATTATTTTAATTTCAGTGTTTTTCAATACATTATATAAAGTCAAAAAATATATTTAATTAAATTTAAAATATATTTAAACATAAAGATATAAACAGTCAAATATGTTATATTTTTGGATTGCCTTGTCATTTTTAGCCTCAGAAGAAAAAGAAGGACAGACGGAAATGGAAAGCGGGTGAGGATGAGGATGATGATGGTGAAGCAGAGGTCATGCAGCGCCTCAAGAAACTGTCAGTCCAGCCCAGTGATGAAGATGAAGAAGAGGAAGAGGGTAATGTCATACACTAAGTTTGTGCCAGTATGTGTCACACATCACACACCACATATTTAACATCATGGTTTATTTGTATTTTGCAGTTGTTGCTCCAGTCAAAGGAGGAAAGAAAAACAAAGTGAGTTGCTTTGACATACTATGCGGTACTTCTCTTCACTTTGTGGACAGAGTCATTTTCCTCCTGCTGAACAATGTATAGAACAGTGCAATTTAAATCATGTGATCCAATCTAGATGATGCAACACAGAACTTTGAGAATTTTTTTGTCCATCTCTTTCTATCAGGGTGGCAACATATTTGCTGCTCTGAGTCAGGGGCAGAGTGATGATGATGATGATGGTGCTGATGATGATGATGAGAAACCCCAAAGCAAGAAGAGCTCAAAGGTGCGTGCTTCCCGTTTCAAAGTCAGTTGTTGTAGGTTGAGTTTGTATGCACAAGTATAGAACAAGTTTTATGATGCAAGACAAGTTCATTTTATTTATATAATCAGGGGTACACATAAGTGGTACGCAGGTGCGCAACCAAAGGTCCAGACCACTCATTTACGTACCAACATGGTTGACAGCTGTTAATACACAATTATAATTTTAGATCAACAAACTGTAATACTGTATGAGATTTCTATTCGAGCTAAGAGCATAAATCTAGGCTATCCGCTGCCATTTTCTAAACACAAAGCAAAACTGTGACATTTCACTCACTGACACTCTTACTTGCCGGCAACACGCCACAATAAAATCTTGCTGATTTTAAGTCTGAAAATCATGAAAAGTCATATTTTTAAAAAAAGTAAATATTAGTATTTTATTTTTAAGTTTACTAAAAAATAATATTATTTTTTATTTAATACTCTCTTTTTATTTTAAAATATAATCGTATTATCACACTTTATTATTTTATAAAAATAAAAAAAATAAAGTGCAATAATATTATTATCACTATTCTTTTTTTTTATAGTTATTATTTAATGGGTCACACCAGTGTTGGGGAAAGTTACTTTTAAAAGTAATGCATTACAATATTGCGTTACTCCATAAAAAAGTAACTAATTACGGTACTTAGTTACTTTTTATGGAAAGTAATGCGTTACGTTACTTTTGCGTTACTTTTTATATCTGGACAGGGCTTGCTTGTTTGTTTTTAAAATAAAAAAGTTCTATTTTTGGCAAATATAAAAGCCTTTTCACACCAAAAGTGAAATGAATAAGCCTCAGGCTGAAGGGAAAGTAAATTTACGTCCGTACAGTAGAATGCAGAAGAAGAAATTTCAACACACTTCAGCAATAAAAAAAGACACACAAATGTTTGTCTAGAGTAACTTTTGCTTATTAGTAAGGTTGAACTGGATCATCGAAGGTCAGAAGCAAAGACATTGGTTAATAGAATGGGATTAAATACATAAAGGATATTTGTGTTGTTTAACATTTAATTATTGCAGGTTTGCATCATATTCTCAGTTGCATTATTTTTATTCATTTTGAGGAATACTGAATCTGTGCTTTTTTGTGTGTGTGAGTGAGATGAATTAATGCATATTCATATTATTATAGAACTACATTAACATCTTCTGATTTCTCTCAACATGGGGACAGGAGAGCTGTCAATCAGTAAATAGGAAAAAAAAAGTAACTTGCGTTACTTATTTGAAAAAGTAACTCAGATATTCTCTTGTAAATTAAAAAGTAATGCGTTACTTTACTAGTTATTTGAAAAAAGTAATCTGATTACGTAACTCGCGTTACTTGTAATGCATTACCCCCAACACTGGGTCACACTATGTGCAAACTAAATCTCCAGGTGCTCTTTTGAGAACCAGGCTGAAAAACGTATGTGCACCCTTGTATATAATGCTTTATACAATACAAATTGCTTCAAAGCAGCATTACTATTTTATGTTTTGTTTTTAAGATTTAAGGTTAAAATTGACATCTTATAAACTGTCTTTTGCATTTTGCACTTTTTTCTTTATACCATTTAAATTTTTTACCCACACTAATTAAAATAACAAATGTTTTTTTTTACAAGTACAAATATACTATGTAGACTCTAAATTAATATGATACCATAAAATGCATGTGTAGCAATAGGAACTAAAAGGTAAAATGCTGTTTAAAATAGCATTATATGGAGTATAAATAATTTTTCATATCCACTTTCTTGAGAAATTTCATGGAAAACAGTGTTTATTTAATTAATATTTGCATATTGTCTTAGTAGTTATTAGTGACTGTTTGTACCATCACTGTTCATTATATTATCTTTACAGCATCATCAGAATTGATGGACCTAACCATAGCACATATGAATCACACACCACATAACTCATCTTTTTGAGTTTATTCCTCTTTCATTCCCTTATATCCGCTCTCTCTTCATGACATTCCCAGTGGAATTCATACCATTTGCATTCACTCATTTGTGCCAGTGCGCTCATTGTTTCAGTCATTAAAACATTGTTTGTGATAGATACAGAAGGGAAGAACATATTGGGCTGCATATTGAATATATCTACATTTATAAGCACATGTGCCTATTTCTGTATGTGTATGTATGTGATTCAGGAAGTTGAGAAGGTAACCAAGAAAAAAGATAAGGCTAAACCTAAGATAATGAAGGTGGGTACATGGGATTGTTTCTTATTCAGTTTTCCTTCTTCAAAATTCACATCTTCTGTCTTTCTTCCACCTTGCAGTTTTTTCTTTATTGCTGCATGACGGAAGTGCTTCACTCATCATGGAAACGAACCCTTTTCTGTACATTCCAGTCTGCCTAACTAACATTGTGTTTGATTGGTGAGCGGTGCTCTGATTTTTCCTCCAGGATCTTTGGTTGACTCTCTTCTCTCAAACACAGGAGGCCTCAGAGGATGAACAAGATGAAGAGGTGGAGAAGAAAGATGAGAATCAAAAGAAAGGAGGGAAAAAGGGCAAGAAAGTCGCTGCTAAACCATCTAAGGTGTGTGACTCTTGTTTTGATGAATACAAGTTGTTTTGAAAAGCCAGTAAAAAAAAAAAATGCAAGTGTGTGCAACCTGAAGGGCATCTTAATGTTGACAGGAGGAAGATAAATTGGAAGAGAAAGAACAAGAGAAGACTCAGAAGAAAGGCAAGAAGGAACAGCCCAAGGTCAGATTAAGCTGATTAAGTTTATGTATATATTTATGTATAAAAATATGCATATGCATTCTTTGTGATTTGGAATCTCGCTTAAGATGACTGAGTTTAGTATTATTAAAGT